GTGAAGACACTCCTAGTCAACACACTGACCATGTTTCTCCATCAACGACTCTTGTCAACATTCCGCAAGGTCCTCGCCGTAGTACTCGCTCACGTGGCCCACCATCTTGGCATTCTGATTATTTGCGGCTTCATTCAGTAAAAATAGACTCCCCCGTCGTTCATCCTCCAATTGTTTCTTCAGGTACTCCTTATCCCCTTACTCATTATATAAAATATGATAAATTTTCTTTACAGCATCGAGCATTTCTCGGAGCTATATCTTCTGCTACTGAACCCAAAAATTATGGTGAGGCCGTACGTGATCCTCGATGGCGTGCAGCTATGCAAAAAGAGATTGAAGCCCTCGAAAAGAATGGAACTTGGACTCTCCAGCCACTTCCTCCTGGCAAGCAACCCATACGCTCTAAATGGGTTTACAAAATCAAATATCGTAGTGATGGCTCTATTGAACGATTCAAAGCGCGTCTTGTTATATGTGGCAACCGTCAGGTCGAGGGAATTGACTATCATGACACATTTGCTCCGGTTGCCAAGATGGTTACTGTTCGAACTATTTTAGCTGTTGCTGCATCTCGCCATTGGCATATCCATCAGATGGATGTTGATAATGCATTCTTCATGGTGATCTCCATGAAGAAGTTTACATGTATCCTCCTCCGGGTTATTCCTCTCCCGGAAAGGTCTGCCGTTTACTTAGATCTCTCTATGGACTTCGTCAGGCTCCTAGATGCTGGTTTTCTAAGTTGACCTCTGCTTTAAAATCTTATGGGTTCACTCAGTCCTATGCTGACTACTCGTTGTTCACTCTCAAGCGTGGCAATAATATCTTGTGTATTCTCATTTATGTTGACGACTTACTAATCACCGGAAATAATTTAGATTGGTTATCTTCTTTTAAACAATTTCTTTCTAAATTATTTCCGGTTAAGGACTTGGGTTGTCTCAAATATTTTCTTGGAATTGAGGTTGCCCGGAATCCTACAGGCATCTTTCTATGTCAACGGAAATACACATTGGATATTTTACATGAAGCTGGCTTGAGTGGTTCCAAACCGGCAGCATTTCTGATGATTCAAAATCATCATCTTTATACTGATAGTGGCCCGCTATTCACTGATTCCGAGAGATATCGACGAATGGTTGGGAAACTCATTTATCTTACTCTCACTCGTCCCGATATCTCTTACTCTGTTCATGTTTTGGCCCAATTCATGCAAACACCGCGGCAAGCTCATTGGGACGCTGTTGTTCGAGTCCTACGTTATCTAAAAGGACATCCTGGTCAAGGTATTCTATTACGCTCAGACTCCTCGTTACATCTTACTGGGTATTGTGACTCTGACTGGGCTACTTGTCCTATTACTCGTCGTTCCGTGACCGGGTATTTTGTAACCTTGGGCTACTCTCCTATTTCTTGGCGTACAAAGAAGCAAGCTACCGTCTCACGTTCGTCTGCTGAGGCTGAATACCGGTCTATGGCCACCTTATCCTGCGAACTTATTTGGCTAAAGGCACTTCTTAAGTCTCTCGCGGTTCCACACTCGCAACCGGCTGATTTGTTTTGTGATAATCAAGCTGCGCTCCATATCGCCTCTAATCCAGTGTTTCATGAACGCACTAAACACATTGAGCTTGACTGTCACTTTATTCGCAATCACATCCAGGCCGGCACTATCTCTACTCATTATAGGTCTTCTGCTGAACAATTAGCAGACATTTTTACGAAACCCCTTGGCGCTCAACAATTCTCCTATTTAGCATCCAAGTTGGGCATTTGGGATCCTCATGCTCCAACTTGAGGGGGGGTATTGAGACATATTATGTATATCTTTCTTGATAGCATATTATTTACTTGCCTTAGTTATGTACGTACGTTTTTGTAGAGTAGCATTATTAGGAATATTTTCTTTCCTTGTTTTATGTACGTTAGTATGCTGATTGGAGAAGAATTCTCCATCGTAAATTCATTCTCCTTTGTAAAACATCTTGTATATATACGAAGGCAAGGAAGAAAAAGAAGCAGACTTTTGGTTCGCATATATTCCCCTTTTCTACATTTATATTTAGTTGCTACTCCAAAAATGTAATCATTTGTTAGAAATTCAAGAAATCACACTAATGTTTACGTGAGGGCAGTTAATAACACAGTCTAACATGAGGCAGCCTTATTAAAAATTTCAAACATCATTTAATTTTTGTGTGTTTGTTTGGAAACAGTGAACTTTTTGAATATATTTTTAAGGCTTCAGAAGATAGATTGATTTCTAAACTGTCCATTAAGCTAATTATATACGGAGTATATATATACATATATCCGGAATTTATTTAATATTTTCCGTTTATAATTTATAACTTGGAATATATTTCATTCTGATGTTGCTAAGTTATCAAATGTATTTTTTTCTCATCACATGTACAACTCTAAGTTAAACATGTTTTTCTTTAGGGAATTGTAGTCCATAATATACCACGTACTATGTATTATGATATGAATAATAGACTAATCAAGTTCAAGTAGATAAACAATAAATTCATAGTTACTCAACCTAAATCGAAGAATTAACATCCTTACAATGGTCTTGGGCATTACCACGAACGCGCAACGCGCGTTACAAAACTAGTATACTATACAAAGAAATATTTGGTGACCAAGTAAAAGTAACTAGTACACTCAATACACCTAACGAGGTGGGTTAATTGGAGAGAGAATATCATGATTGATTGGCTAATTGGTAATATTGTACCGACTTGTGTCCTTTGTGCTACAAAATGTATGGATAAGCCACACATGTAAATTTGGTTGCTAGATGCTACAACTGAATGATGTGAATGACATCAACTTTTGTGCAGATGTCGCAATTAAGGTGATGTACTCGCAATGCTTTGTGGAACATGCATCGTCGCCAAAAATGTCTTAGTCCATAATATGTACCTGAGCTAATTCAAGTGTGACTATGAAATTTAGGGGCTGAGAAGCTCGACCCAAGTGAGTAATGAAGTCATCTTTGTTGATCTCGAGTATACTGTGTTGGAAATGTTAACAACCTAAATCGAGGGTCAGTTTCGACTGTAGTTTCGGACTCTTCTTCATAATATGTGAGTCGATCTTTAGCTCGCCTCGACCGGATTTGCTTAAATGGACTTCAGTGGTTCCTTAACATTAATCTGGCATCATGGGGCGTACAACAAAATACTCTATCACGAGTCCCCCACTTTCTGAAGCGAGAGTCTTACTTGAGGTGATAGAGGTTCTTTGATTGGGCTGACTCGCCCGGTGAGGGCACTTCTTTCCATAGTCACAGCAAGGCGGTGAGTTATTAAAAACTCCGCTGAGGAAAAATCATGTGGGAAAAATCCTAACGGGGGAAAAGATGGTGGCGCCTCTGCTAGACCTATTTTACTGTGTCCAATCACATTATTTATCTTTGTAATTGTTTATTTATTGTAATAACTAATTAGTCTGTCGAGCTTTATGTTATGGTCCATTAGTTATTTTGTATGTCATACCTATTGTAAACGAGCTCAACTCCCTGACCTATAAAGTCTGGAGAGTGAGTCTCATGCCTTAAGCTCCCAAGAATATCAAGCTACGAAATAGGCAGTTACTATATTCTAAAGAGAGAGATAGTTGTTGTCGTACTCATAACTTGTATTGATTTGATAGAGTATATGGGCCCAGACCCATGGTCCACATACTCAGAGGATCAAAACACAAAAGCATGGCACCCACGTGACATTCCTTCGGCCAGGTGGGTCCTCCATCAGCCAAAACCAAAGTTACTCACAATATGGCCCCATAGGTCCAGGAACAAAATGGGTCCTCCATTACTGTAACGCCCTTCCCAGTGTTAAAGGAAACGTTACGCTAACTTACTACTTTTAAAAATAACTGCAATATAATGGCCGTCTATTTAAGAAAATAACCCTGATAAAATCTCAAAAGTAACTAAAAACAACTCCAAATAAAAACTTAATAAAATATAGTTATCACCAGCAAATGTGATAACCACCTGGATCCAGGAATTTATTCAAACTTCAGATCCTCAAAATAAAATAAAGTAATAATAATCACTTTATTATAACAACTACACTTAAATACAATAATAACTAGCTAGAAGCTGCCAAGATCGTTCCCGTTAACTCATTTCGGCACGCGTTCCACTCCCTCATAATCTTCCTAGGCCTTGGTCTTACCTTTAGTATCTGTACATGCGAAGAAAGAAAACTGATAAGCTTTACGCTTAGTAAGTCACTATGGATCCACAAAAATATCGAGAAGTCTATGTCAATTTATCAACAGATAAATTTAGGCTATAAGCATGCACTGAACAAATAACTAACAAATAACTTCTCAATTACATTATGAGGGAGATCTCAAAAGGAAAATATTTTTCTAAAAATAATTTCTCAAAACTGCTAGAGAGATCTCAAAATTTCTTTCTCAAAACATCTCTGTAAAACTTTCTGAAAGAGATCTCAAGAACAACTTTCTGTAAAACTTTCTGAAAGAGATCTCAAAAACAACTTTCTGTGAAACTTTCTGAAAGAGATCTCATTAAACCACCTTTTGTACTACTCTTTGTGGCTAATTTTACTCTGTGGGCCCGTGATATGTACTCAAAGGCGCCAATCCGACAGCTCAGGGGAGCGACCCACTAAACATATCGGACTCTCTGAAACTGATAACTCTGTAACTCTGTAACTCTGTGGAAACTTGTTCCCGAGTACATATCACTAAATCTTTCACTTTAAGTATTAGTTCTTTTCTTTTCATGGTGACGTTTAGATAAAGCATCATTAAATCTGAAAATAAAAGTACTGACAAAATCTTGTCCATGCCAGATACTAAACATACTTAATACAACAAATAAAATAACTCATCAAATAATTCATTAATTTCACATAATAGCAAATAGACTAAAATCATCTATTAAAAATCAACCAGACTTCTTTCCTTTATTTGGTTGAACAAACATATACAGGTGGTAGTGAACTTACCTGTTAGCAGCTGAATCCAAAATACTCAAACAAGTATGACACCTTGATAACGTCTTCCGGTAAGCTCTTCTTTAAAATCTTTATTTAGATATAATAATCTAATTAGCACTTGCTATCCTTTAAGAAAATCTCAACACCGTAGTTTCTGTTGGAAATTGCTCTTTAAACAAATAAAAGTTTCTGAAAGAATTGTGATCATACAAATTCGAAGGAATACTGCTTCCAATCTTTCATAAAAAGAAAAACTACTTCAACTTAGACTCTGATTTTTGTTTTTAGTACAGTAAAAGTAAAATAAATTTCTAAACTAAGAAAACAATAAACTAATTGAAATAGCCTTCTGCACCAATAGTCAGCTAATAATAACTTGAAATCCATTTTCTAGGAGCCATGCGTCGGAGTAGAAAACCAATTGAAATTGATGGGCAGCTGAAATCATTATTAAAGTCTTTCAAATGATGCATCTTGATAACAACATGAAAATCTGGCCATTAATTTGATAATAGTTCACGCCCATCACATCAAATTTTAAGAAAATCACAGATTATAAAAGGCTAATTACTTGTCAAAACTAGCTGGACTTGGAGTAGTTAAAGTTATGAAAAAAATGAAACTGCAGAATAAACTCAAATTACTCATGCACTAGTTACCCACTCATTAGAGAAATTGATTTGCCGAGTGTTAGAGAGAAAACAAACTGAAACTAGGATTTGGAAAAAAAATATTACAGGAAGTATAGAGAGTATTCAATTTACCAGGTATGAGATGTAATCCAAGACTCAATTTAGCGATAGCTCTGTTTGGCCGAACTAAAGGGAAGATGCGGCTCGGTGGAAGAAGAAGAGCGGCGTGTATATGTAATACGGAGTATTCATTTTTAGGGCTTTAATCAAGATACTGATTCGGGCTAAGATAACTGATTTGGGTCTCTAAGTATTGAATAAACTTGTTTTGAAGCCAACTAAAAAAATTATATTAATCTCTCTAAAACATTTACTAAACTGTAATCAGGCTAAAATAAGCAATTGGGTCACCAATTATCTTTAAGAGAAATTTTCTACCCAAGCTTAAAGAAATATACTCCCTTTCAATGATAAATTGATTAACTTTAGAACAAAATTTACTTATTTATTTGAATCTCTTGGAGCTTACCGGTTACATTATATGCCACAAACAAAACAATAAATCACATTATTCATAACAAAACTTATTTAACTGACTAAAATAATAGTTACTAATATAACTAGCTCATAAAAATCGGGGTGTTACAGTTACCTCCGTCGGCCAGACACGCCTTTGGCCAAAGGACACTCCATCAGCCAGGAGGCACTCCCTCGGCCAGAAGTACTCTGGCAGGATAGGTTTTCATACTTAGCCAAATAAATCATGTGCTCAACCCATTAGTGGTCTTATTATGCCCAATAGGGGCCTGGTTGTTGCTCAACGCTATGAGCCCAAATTCACATGTCCTCCTATAAATAGCCCCTTAGGGGTAGTTATAGGGGGTTGAGAAATATTAATTGCTCAATTTCTCTCTCTAGCTCTCACTTCTCTTTAAGATTTAATATTCTATCGTGATCGTTATTCATCATTTTGGTATTGAATCTGAGCATTGTTCTTCTATATTATAATTAATGTGATTGTACTGTGATTGTTGGGTGGTTGCTAGGATCTGGCACCACTGTTGCATTAATGATGAGGATCTAAGCTCGTACTCAAGAATCATTGGCGAGCTTTATTTCCCGTTCCTGCAGGTTAGTTAATCATTGGCGAGCTTTATTTACTGCTCCTGTAGATTAGTTAATACTTCGACAGTCGTAGCCGAGGAATGATAGAAAGATTAGAATAATTTTTGATGAGCTCAGTATAAGATTAATACCCGATTCGATGATGTGGTCGAGGTTGTTGTGTATTATTCTTTGGAGTGAGCTTTGATTTCTTGTTTTTACTTTGTAAAAAACAAATTCAAGTGTAAAAAAGTGTAATATGAGCTTGAGGGCAACAAGGTAGGCTTAGTTATAAAGTCGCGGTGGACTCTGAAAACATTAGAGTCTACGGGTATTAGCATTGGAGTGTGCAGTAACGCTGATGTGTGCATTTGGAGTTTAATATATTCCTTTTGCATTTTTTAGTTTATTCAATCGTTTAGTCATAATAGCAGTGATTGAAAGACTGTTTAGCGCCATCATTGCGCTTTTTGCTTGGCTCTTCAATTAATTGTGTTGTGTTTTGGGGGCTTAATTCCCAATATGACATGTGTTGTCATGTTGTCCATATGTTTGAAAAGGTATAAAAGGCGGAAAGTCTTCCTTTTTACACTTTATGCTTTCAGACTTTGTGTTTGTGCCTTCAATCTTTTGCTCCTCTTGAGCTCTTAGATTTTCCGAGTGCTCCCGTCAAGGTTGTTCCCAAGTTTCTACTTTTACCTCATCTTCTCGGGCCAGTGCTCGGGCTCTGCCTCTATTTTCTTTTCTTTGTGTTGTTCATCGGAAATCCCAGACATGGGGTTTTCCGACGATTTTTGGATTTTGGGTGTTTGGCCAACCCTAGCGCCGCATTGGCTCTGTAAATTGTACTCCCAGGCATGAAATTGAGCCATGAAGCAGATTCCGCCCTCTGTTTTATGGTTTAAGCCCACTCTGGGCTACAATAGCTCACGTCTCATGCTTTTTATTATTCATGTTTTCTAGATTTCTTGATCGAAAATGGTTTCAAAATCTGGATCCGCTGACATCAGTGATTGGGTCAACCGTGACCTCTCATTGGGCTATGAGCCCGTCGAGGCTTAAAAGGAGGCTAGCGTTAACAATGATGTCGACGAAGCCACTTCTGCACTCGGCGTGCAACCTCTGCGTGGCTATCCCAGGTCTCCCCAGGACGCTATAACGTGGAGGATGGTTTTCCTGGACAACATAGACTACATCGAGTTAAATGTTGAGTCTTTGCTCGATGCTCAGTGTGCTTTGACAAACCAGTAGTGGCATGAGGCTCATCTCGTGGGGATCCCATTGTTGATGTCATTAGAGCGGGGGCTGATAGTCTTGGGCACTCCTGTCCTCCTGGTTACTTCACTGTGTTTTATGACGCCTTAAGGCGTCGATTCTAGTTCCCGCTCAAGGCCTTTCATGTTGAGTTCATGAACTAGGTCTGATTGTTGCCCTGTCTAGTAGCGCCCAACATGGCTTTAATTTACTATATGGTGGCTTTCCTTTTGTACTACACAAAGTGCTATTGTTAAGATCAGACAACCTTTTCTGACATCCATTTACCATGAAAAATTGTCCATGGGTACCAGATTTATACTAAAGAAGCTTTAGTATAATGCCATACACCCATGAGTACCATATTTAATGCCAAACCATGGGTCTAATGCCAAACCATGGGTATAATGCCATACACCCATGGGTATAATGACAAACCAATCCAAGAACTATGCTATATCACCTCAAGTGAGATTCTCATTTTAGAAATAGGGGACTCAAGATGGAGTATAATGTCATACACTCATGGGTACCAGATTTATACTAAAGAAGCTTTGAGGTCTGTTAAGGCACATCTGAACGAGGTTGGGTTCAAGATCGACTCTCAAATCATCAAGAGAAGTATGAATCCGCAGTTGAGGCCAAGGACGACTCTCAGCTTAGGTTGTTAGTTTTTTCAGAATCATAGCTGAGCTTAAGGCCAAGACGGATGCCATACACTCAATATCAACATGGATGACCTATGTACTCACTTGGGGCGAGCTTCTTAGCCCCTGAGCTTCACAATCATATCTGAGCTAGGCCTTTCCATGGTAGGCTACGCTCAGAACCTCATATACACATTGTGGACCTAGCACCGCGGCTACCTCACCTTGTAACAATTTTATCAGGGCTGACGTAATTCATTCCGTTACGACATCTAGCTACTAGATTTACACGTGTAACTTATCCAACAACACAAAGAATAAACCCGGTATAATAGTACCAATCAATTAATCACTACATTCTCTCCCCAATCAATCCTACACGTGGCATGTATCTATTGGATCAATTACTTTTACTTGTTCACCAAGCATTACCCTGTACAATATAAATATCACCTTCTAATCCGAGGATATGGATCAATTTCTGAGTTTTATAGCCTATTGTTACTCTGTCAAATTTTCAACTCACTTCATACTTGTGATATTTCCCCACTCTCCCTCGGTTTACTACCCATGAGTTAGTGAAGCTATCAGACATCGATTAAGACATCTTTTCTTTCAGTATTCTTAAATCAATTGTGGAATAAATTTATGTTAATAAATGAAATTTCTCATTGACATTATAATCCAAGAATAATATTAAATTGATTATTTTATTCAATTCAGAACTTTTATTCCGCACACAAAATAAATAACTTCATATGTAAATACAATTTAATCTAGACAAACATCCTAACTCACACATACGTTTTAATACAAACACGATTTCAATAGAAAAAAATAATGAACCCTAGGTGAACTATGAATGGTACCCGCACCCAATTTGACCCATTATCCTAGAATGCTTTCTTTTGGACTGGAATTTGCTAAACTGGTGTGAGTCTGATTTATTCTGGTTTGACTTGATATGATCTTGTCTGAACTGATCTGGTAAATGTTTGATTTCCGTGTATTTTATAATTTTCAAAGTATGATCTAATCTGAGATTGAAAACAATTAAAAAGAAAACATCCATATTCTTTCATTACCATTAATTTCAGATGTTCATCTCATCATCCCTATTTCGAATTGAATGGACCGGCAATTCCAATCCTAAATCCGGCCCACTACTTCTTGAGTAATGGGCACAGTTAGACAAGGGTGTTTCAGTAAACCACTTTTTTTCTGTGTAATATAAGGTCCGCCCTATAAAATTTTGCTTCGCAATCTAGGGTTTCTGATTCGGCCAATTGAAGGAGCCCCGTCGCCGGCGTCTTTCTCTGCAGAAGCGAAAATGGTTTGTGAATCTCTTCTCCTTCACAGATTCTTCAATATCGCTTACGTTATCATTATGATCATATAAGATCGGTTTTTGAACTTTGCAGCCGTCGCACAAGACATTCATCATAAAGAAGAAGCTCGCGAAGAAGCAGAGGCAGAACAGGCCCATCCCCTACTGGACCCGCATGCGCACCGACAACACAATCCGCTACAACGCCAAGCGTCGCCATTGGCGCCGTACCAAGCTCGGGTTTTGAGGATGCTGAAAACTCACTCGATGCTCAACCCGGAGTAAATTATGTTTGTTTCCATGTCTTTTGTTTTGAATTCTCGATGTTCGATGTTAGTCTTTGAATCGATTTTGTTGCCTTTACAGTGACTATTATTATTAAATTAACATGTAAGACTTGGGGATTAATAGTTCATTTTGGTATTCAAGACTTGACTCCCGTTTTGTTTATTTTCCATCAAAATTCTGTGGCATCTTTATCATTTCGGTTTAAAAGTCTGCCTACTGTTCAGTGATGATGATGACGGGTAAACAGTAGTTGTATGCTCTATTTGATGAACTTATGACTTGTTTTTCTCAAATAATCTAGTGTTAGCGATATATTAGAAGCCATAATAAGTTTGGAATTGAAGTAGGAAGTCAAAGTATTGGAAACAAATAAATGTGGCGATTGCATTTGCTTGTGCATGTGTAGGGTGAAGAAAGTCGTATTGTTGAATTTTGAGGACTAAGGTCCAAACTTGGAGTGTTCAGAGGAAAACTGACTGGTTAAACTGATAATTTTATTAAGTTCAATTTGAGCTTTCCTCCTAAGAGCTTTAGGTTCATCAGAAGGATGATATGGTGGGTGTGGTGTTTGGTTTGCAATTTTTTGGTAAATACTCTATGGGGGATCATAGGATATCATGAGCTTGATGCATTTTCTTGACATAATTTA